TGGCCTTTTTGGTTTCACCTTTGTTCATGTTTAAGGCAAGTTTCAAAAATATTTACCCACATATTTATGATTTCCAGTACACTTCACTTTCACGTAGGTTTGAATTTCTGATATCATTTCCCTTGAGCCTGAAGGACTTACAGCAATATTTCCTGTAGTGAAGGTTTTTTGGTGCTGAATTTTCTCAGCTTTTGTTGTTTTGAAAATACCTTTATGTTGCCTTCACTTTTGAAGACTATGTTCCCTTGATACAGACATCTAGGCTGGTAGTTTATTTTTTCATTTATTATTCTAGAGACGTCATTCAACAGCCATTGGTAGACATAGAGGTATTTTCTATTGTAATTGCAACCCTTAGCTAACTGAAACTATTTGTTAGACCAGGAGAGGCTCAGGAGATAATGGAAAAGTAGATGTTGAAGGCAGAAGGCAATTCAAACTCTAATGAGCGTTGTGCCTCAGAACAATAGCAGGAGCCCCTTTCTCACAGCGGCCGGTGGAGCCTCATGCGTCTGTGCTTCTCTGACCTGGAAGGTCCTCACACTCCTACAGATCCTGCTCTTGCCCGTCCAGAGCATTAGGAATCTAGCCCTCCATCGTCTCTCAGGCTAGGAGGATCCCCCTGAAAACCTGTGCTTCCCTTAACATATCATGTTTGACAAATGAAATGATTTCTCTCGTATCTGTTTGTACCCTCTGGTAGGTTACAAACCCCCTGAGGACAGGGATCACGTCCAGGCCTCACCCTGTCCCATAGCCAATGGTTCAGTAAACCACTGTGGCTTGACTGGTTCACTGTATGAGGACGTGATGTCACCGTGTTCAATGTCATTCCATTATAAGGTTGGAGAGATGCTGTCGGAACTTAACTCTGGTTTGTATGAAGCAGGCTACGGTAAAATCAGGTGTGTCGCCTGTAATTTCACTTGAAGTCACAGACGCTGCCCACGACAGGAAGTGAGGACCTGCTGTGTGTATTTGGAGCATGTTGATGTTTGAGGACACAGTATGGAGAGGCGGGGAGACGGGGTGGGAGCTGAAGTGGGGTCCAGCAGCAAGATGTTCTTACAGCATCTTTTTATGTTAAAAACTCCATGCATAGAGGGAGTCAGATGGCAGGTGGAGACCGGAGGATTCCGCTTGGGGCAGCTGGGCTCTCTGCCTGTGAAGTACCTCCTCTGACCTTCCTCCTGCGACCTCTGCTGAGTGAGAGACAGTACAGAAAGGTCAATGTCACAGAGCAACATCTGCTCGTTGGCGGTTGGTACAAACAAGTGGAAACGGAATGTAGTGGAATCCTGGTCATTACCATTATCCAGTTTGGCCAGGACTGGGTAAGTCACTTCAAATGCCCACTGGTTCCCTTTTCTCTCTGGTGAAAGTCAGGACGCAGACTGGGAGTCTGTGGCAGGGGCACGTCTTCTTTGCATATCGAGGGATCAAAAGTGTACAGTGTATCTTTAAGTGGGAGAGAACCAAACACAAGAACAAACTTCTTGATGCTAAAAAGAAATTCTCGCCATAAGAGAGAGGATTCAAGAAGAAGCAGAGACGTTTGGTTGGAAAATTGAATAACTCGTCACAATCGTTCAAAAAACAATTAGATATACTAGATAGGTAGATTGATAGTTTTGTTTTTCTTTTAGGTAGTATGTGTGCGTAAAGAGACAAAAATAAAGCAGATGGAAAAATGTTATTAACTGGTGAGTCTAAGAGATGGATACATATGGGTATTTCTTTTAGTGTTCTGTAATTTTTTATATATTTGAAATTGTCTAATTAAAAATATCATCATGATTAATAAAGATGAAGCTTTATATTCTTTGCATATTCTACTTAGCCCATTAGCCCATCCAGGGAGACTGCAGAAGCTTCCTTACTGACCTCCACATTCCATTCCCCGAGGTCCTGTCTCCCCACCCACTTAGCATGAGTAAGAATCTCTGCTGGGGGGACATGCCCTGATGCTCCCCTCTCACCACTCCTCCCGGACACCCAGCTTGCCCAGCTGAGAGCCACTGCTCTATTGGTGGTGACATCGGAGCCACTCGCCAAAGCAGGTTACGCACCATCATTTCCCTGGAAAGTTCTACATGCTCTGAAGTTGCACTTGTGAGCTTCTTTAGAGGCAGGTGGTGGAGCCAGAGAAGCCCCCAAGGTCCTTCTGATTGTCCGTGTGCCTGAATGTCGAGTGCTGAGGGTGTTGAGTCTCTAGACCAAGAATTACAACTCCCTCCCTTCTCCCTGGTGATCTGACTGCTCAGATTTTTGGAAGCGGGCACATAGCTTCGGTTTTGCTCTGCTTGGCTTGCATTTCTGTCTCTTGCAAGAGCCATGATCACTGTCTGCCTGGCAAAGCTGCTAGTGGCGGTGTTCCTGGAAGCTCCCGCCTCCAGGCGATGATATCAGATCCCACGTGACCCCACCACCAAGCATGTGGAAGCTCCACAACATTCCAGGAGGTGATTCCATCTGATGCAGAGCTCCCCGTCCTGTACAGGTCTTGCTGCTCACACCGCCACCATGAGCAACAAGCTGCCACCTCAGGTGGAGGCAGCTTTGCCCAAGTCCCCAGTAGAGCGAGGTAGACAGCAGAGTCACCTGAGGGTTGTGCTGCACCCCACTCCCTGCCCCCCACCCAAGTGACATCTGGGGCAGGCCACACAACACAGTCATGCACAGACATTCCATAGCTCAAGGTCAAAAATGAAAGGAAGGGGGCGTTTTCCTGCCGAGACATAGCAGCATGTGGCGCACGTGTGGGTGAGTCGGGTATTTTGGCCCGTCAGGTGTGGGCTGCGTGGGCTGAGGTTGGAGTGGATTGTCATGAGTGGATCGGAATGGGACAAGAGGCCTCTGAAGGGGTGTTCAAAGAAGTTGAGGCCTGGTTTAGAGACCTTTGGAATCTGTAATCATCTCAAAATGGTCATAGAGGCACAACCTGGGGGTGGAGGGAGAATCCGAATACTCAATACCCATCGGTAAAGGTAATTGTAGGAATAACAATTGATAGGAATAACAACAATCACTGATTGAGCTCTTACCTCGTGCCGGGTGGAGTTACTGCGTGTCAAGCAAGCTCATTATTCTGCCAGCAGCGTGACCACCGAAGCAAACTGCCCTTTGCCTCACCGTGGTCTTAACCTGGTGACCTGGGAGGGGGGTCCCATCAGGGTCCAATTGACCTTCATCACCCTGATGATAATGCTGAGCTCCATGGCCTCAGTCACGAGGACCTTAGCTGTCCTGCAGGCACTCGGCCACCAGGGCAGGTCCCACTCTCGTTCACCAGGAGTGTCACTCAAAATGACCTGTGCATTTATCTTCTCTGAGCAGCAAGCCCCCCATTTCTGTGCCGTCTCTGCAGCCCCACCTGGCACTCGGCTCATGTACTTGCCTCACCTGGATTCTCTGCCTCTTTAGCACTAAGCTCTTCGCCAAAGCTCCTTTTGCTTCCCAACCCACGCTATTTGTATTTGAACTCCACGTGGAAAACTAGATGGGTCTAGAAGTATTTGCTTTTCTGCTTACTCAAGGGCTCCTCCTCCTGACTTCCCCAGTGAGCTGAGGCCCACTGACCACTGCCGCCCCCTCAGCCCCATCTCCTACCGACCCTCAGCTCTTCAGGTTGGAAGTGGCAGAGGCGAGACTGTGGGGAGAGTTCTTTGCTCCCAGTTCCCTGAAGTTAAGAATGGCTCCTCCACAGTCGTCAATACTACTGAAGAAGAGACTCACTTTCCCTGGCCCCGTCTAGGACTCGGTCCTCATTTGCCAAAGAGGGCAGGGTCGCAGGGTTAAACGTGATATCTTTTTGGTACAAAAACAGGTAGATGGACCTGCCATTCAGAGAGGATGTACTTCGGTTGTTCTTTAAGAGTGACGTCATTTTAGAGCCAGACTGTATCTTAGGATTGTGTTGCTCAACTATCACATTCTTTGTAACCCGGTAAGTGGAAGTTAGACTACGCACTTGGAGGTCTCTCAGTAAGGCAAAGATGGGGGTGGCGATAGACCCTTATGGCCCAGGGGTCAGACCGGTGCTGCTTCCATTACTCCATGCTCCCTTCCCAAGCAGTATAGAGGTGTGCTGGCCCCTCTGGTTCACATCAGGGTCAAGGTCACGTACTGCAAAAGATCTGGGTGTTTTTAGACGTAGGTCGTGTTATAGACAGAGCAGAACCAACTGAAGCACATGACCTGTGCTCTTGACCTCACTAGCAGCGTGTTCATGTGGTTGAGCTAATCAGGACAGACAACGGTGAGGATATAATGTACATATAAAATCACTATTCACCACTGAGTCTGGGACTGGAAGATGGACTCTTGGCTTGGCCCTTAGTTTAGGGCCAGAGGAAAAGCGATACTACCCTACACCAAGTCTGAATTGTCTCTGTACCAGTCAAAATTCTTCACTGTGACAAAAATCTAACTCGAACTACCTTCAAAGAAAATAACACAAAGGAACTGGTAGGCTCACAGAACTGGAATAACAGCTGGGCAGCTCCAGGGGTATGAGAAACCACAGGAGCCAGGCCGAAGGGCTGGGATGGATTCCATGCTCCACCTGGCTTTTCTCTCTGGTTGTGTAACTCCCCTCCTTTCCAGGAATGCCTTCTCTGTTTGGGTGGAGAGATGACCACAGTCATTTAACATCCCCTCCTTCTGGCACCGTGAGCCCCGAGACAAGACAGCTGTCCCTCCAATTTCCCACTCAGAAATTCCAGGGCAGGAACCCGATCGACCAGCTGGGTCTCATACCTTCTGCTGAACCTGCTCTGTGTCTGGGAGGAGCCGGAAGCTGTGATTAGCCAGACTGGTGTTACTGGTTGGTGCTCCCGTGATGGGGAAGGAGAGGAAGGACACGCATAGGACTAAGGGGTGATAGAAAAGTTCGATTCTATAACCAGAAGGCTGTAGCTAGACCGAGTGCTGCCCACTATGCCCTGTTTTCCATAGGTGCCGGAATTCAGTGTAGCTGTAGTTACCTCATGCTCCTCCTCCCTCCGGGCCGTTGCATCGATACGGACCACCAATAAACAAACTTGGGTGACGACACTGGTGGACTGAGGAACTCTTAGCACGTGAATCTGTCTTGTCAAACCTGATCCATATCAGCGGACCCAGCTAGGACCCTCCAAGAACAGGAAGGCAGGGGACCGAGTGCTGTCCCGAAGGGTTCTGGAAGAAAAAGCAAGAGAGCTGGGTTTTGTCACTGACCAACTCCATAGCCGGAGGCCAGTCCCTTCATCTCTGAGAGTGTTTATAAAGCACCCGGGCCCAGGAGACTTCTGAGATCCTTGGAGCTCGAAAGTCCTGCAGGTGCGGTGCGGGTGCAGCCGCGGAGTGTGTTGCTGCCCCCTCTAGTGGTTCATTTAAAGTTGAGCGAGTACTTCCGAGTATCCCAGTTTCGAAAAAGAGTAACAGCTTCCTCCACAGAGCTGGACAGGCGCGTTCCCATGGAACAAGGTTAAACGGCAAAGTTTTGGGAGCAGAAAACCACCACTGCTTTGTCGATCCAAGCCCCAGAGAATTGCAAAAATGGAGAACTCCCTCAGCATGGAAACACTGTAGCCACCCCGACATGCATTCATCAGAACACCATGTGTCCGTCCATCCAGTAGAAATAGAAAATGGATGGGGGGGGGGGAACCAACCCACTTGTGGGAGAGTGTTAAATGGCTCTGTGGACAAGAGACGATGAAAAGAGGTTAGTGTCCCAAATGCTACTGGTCAAAACTCATTTATTCCAGAAATGTTTATTGAGCATCTACTGTGTCCTAGCTACAGCACAACTGAGGGTAAGAGAATTTACAGGCCCAGCCCTCCCAGGTTTTCTATTCTAATAGAGAACACAAACAATACCGGGACATAAGTGCCATACAGTGGGAGTCTAGGGTGTTCTCTGAGCTCATCCAGGGGGCCCAGAGCCTGCCTTTGGTGTCCGAGATGGTCTTCCCAAGGGAATGAGTAGGAAGCTGAGTTTTGAGAGCACCAGCAGGCCCAGGTGGATTATGTGTAGGGTAGGTAGTCCACAGGCAACAATAAGCAAATTTTTGTGAGAGTTAATTTAAAAATTGTAACACGCTATTTAAATGGCTGCCCCATTCTGTGCTCTTGGGATGCAAAGATGAATAAAATACAGAATTCTTGCCCTCACAGACCACAGTCTGCAGATGAGAGAGGGGAGGGTTTGGAATAGCTGATAATAGCTGGATTTCTGGAGGTCTGTGGTTACAAACTGGGGGTAATTATGGTTTTAGTAGAAATGTGGGGGGTATAACAGGGAAAATGTGTGTTTGTGATCGCCATACTTCAGGAGCTCGGCCTTTTCTAGCCATGCATCTGAGTGAGCCTCCTGGGAGAGCTGAGGAGTGAGTCGGCGTGTGTCCTAGATGGCTTGCTGCCTATGAAGTGCTGCATCCCCAGAACAGCAGGCCCTGCCGTCTGTCAGTGACGACTACGTGAATGAAGTCGCTTCCTTAAGACCCTCTCTCCAGCCTAGTCTGTGGCACCCATTCTGAATGTGTGGTGCCCACGGATAAGGAGACCCAAGAGAGAGGGTGGAAGCTGGTGTTGGGTCCATGCTTCGCACAGAGAGGTTTCTGAGTGAGTGTTTAACGAAGGCAGGGTTGCATGAGTAAGTGAACGGCTCGGACTGAACTGAGTCAGCACGTTTATCAAAGACAGGTGGAGCATGTGTTGGAAATGAAATAACTTTGGACACACTAGAGGTCTCATCATTTAAAGGAAGAATTATTATTCACAGTGGGCAACTTATGGAAACAAAGGATGTATCCTTTGACAACTAGAGAAAGAAGATGTGGTATATACACAATGGAATAGTACTCAGCCACAAGAAAACATGAAATACAGCCATTTGCAACAAGTGGATGGACCTTGAGGATATTTTGCAACATAAAGAGAGACTATGAGTTTAGTAAAATGGCAATGATCTTAATGCTTGTGTTCAGAATGCACCTTGGCAATCTGTTTTAAGTGAGTAACAAGTACAGTGAAATCAGATGGAAGGTATGATAAATACATATGTTTGCCTTCGAATCTTTTACACTATTAATGAGTTCATTTATTAAAACATACTTAAGGTGTTCTTTTCATATTTGTTACTGACTTTTGTTAAATATTTTATCTACACATCTATATAGTTGCGTATATAGGCTACATAGTTGAAGTTGTGATGTATAAAGCATTTGAAGAGTTTCACTAAGATATTAACGTGCATTAACCAGGGCTCCACTCAGCCCTGAAATATTTATTAATACATCAGTGAATTATTTATTCCCTTGTTTTATTCATTGCTTAACATCTCAGCATGTTTGAGCATTAATTTCTTTAGGAAAACATAATCTCAAAATGGATTTTGCCAGGTCTACAGAGCTGCATGTAATACCTTACCCAAAAATCTGTTCTCCAAAAGGTATGTGTTTTCAGGGAACTGATTGAGCCAGAAAGGCTTGGCTTTCCCAAGACTGCACACGATGAGTGGATAGTTAGTGAGCAAAGACATCGTTGTGATGGGGGGAGGAGGGTAGGAGGGCAGAGCAGATAAGTGAAAACAGAATACCGATGACCACCTAAGGATTAATAGTATGTGGCTACATTAGTTAATGAAATGTAAGATGAGATTACACTTATTTAAAAAAAATAAATGTGGGTGGCTCATTTCCATACAAACTCTCTATCGATCTCACACCATCATTAATGACCGTAATTTTTTAATGGCCAATTATTATACACACCACAGAGTCAGAGTCGGTTTTCTGGTTCAACGAAGGCTGGCCAATCATTTCCTGATCTCAAAGGCGAAGAAAGGCACTTGGTGCGTGGGACTCCTAGAGCTGTGTACAGCACAAACTAAATAATAAACATTTCTTGTTTTTGCTCCTTTTCTGTATAAATCGTCACCCTTCGAGCATTTGGTGATAATAGCAAAACTGCTTCACAGCCTCCATCAGGTTTATATCTGACAAACACCTGCTCAGTCCTTCTGCTCTCAGCTCAGGTGATGCAGTGAGGGGCCCCCCGATCCCCAACATGAGGGCCCCCCCCGATCCCCAACGTGAGGAGCCCTTTGTACGTGCTCCCTGGTGCCGCTCCTACCAGTGCACTTTGCAAACGGAGTTATGGTGCCTGTTTATCTTGGGTCTGTCGTCGGAGTTTATACATATTAGTGCAGGTGTGTGTTTCTTTTGTGTATTGGTATGAGACATGTATGTGTTTTGTTCTCGGTACCTACGAGGCTTTTAAGAAAATGCATTACATGAATGACTGACTAAAAGGATGCAGGGTTGTCACAAAAAGAACCAGGTCACATCCCTGCCCTTGAGGACATCCCCACCTAGTGGGGGAGACAAAAATGTGGATACAACACAATCAAGGTGCTAAGTTTTAAAATAGCTACACAGCAAAAAGCTATGGGGGTCCACGGTGACCAGTTCTACCTGGGGAAGTCAGGTCCCTCACCAAGGAGGTGATCATTGGAGCTGGGTTTGGAAGAATTTCAAAGGCTTCTGGGTAGAGAAGAGGCACATAGCGGATGCTCGGTAATTAACTACTTTAGAGATGTTCTGAGCATACCTCTATGGTCCTGAATGGTCAAAACTTCCAGGTGCCTATCTGGGCAAAAGAGAAAAGAATAGAGTATGGCCACAAACAAAGGGTTTTACTAATTAGGACAGTGGAAAGGACCGTATTGGTAAAAATGAATCAAAAAGGCCAGTGTCAAATATAATCAAGTCAGTGGTTGCCAGCAGGATAATTATCGCTGACTATGAACTACTGGAAAGAAGCCAAATCAACCAGTGTGAAAGACTTGACTGCCTCATGCCAGTTCACATAGGAAGAGGAATCAGAGAGCTAGGGGGAGGGCGTGTCCTCTGGACGCAGCTGGGAGGTGCCTGGACTAGGGTGCATCTGCCAGCGTGTGGGCCCGGGAGGAACAGGAAGCCAGCGTTCAGCACTAGTCTAGTTGCTCCTGGAAGCTGGCAAGTGTGTCGAGTGGAGCTGGGTCATGTTAACACAGGATCACTCCCAACCCTCAAAACCTTGTCCCCTCCCTGTGACCCTCTGACTGCAAGGAAGCTGTGGGAAATGGTGTGCATGAAGAAAACGAACAACAAGGAGATTTTTCTCACCTTTAGGCAAGTGAAGAAGGGCTGATGGGTCCTCAGTTTCTGGAGGAAATGAAATGTGAGGAAGTTCACGCTCTTTCAGGCCACCTCTTCGGACTCACCCCAAACACAGCATCCTGCTTCCCATTCTAGAACCAGCACCTTGTGTGTCTCTGTGCACTCGAGTTACTGCTGCTCTCAAGCATCGTGAGATGCTGTTGTTGTTTTGTTTTAAATAATCCTCATCCAGAACATGTTTACTGATTTGAGAGAGAGGGAGAGAAGCAGTGATGTCAGACAGAAACAGCAATCGGCTGCCTCCTGTATGCGCCCTGACCGGGGACAGAACCCGCAACTTTTTGGTGCCCGGAACAGCACTCCAACCAAACAACCCACCGAGCCAGGGCATGATGTCGTTTCTTTTGCCGGGTAACCTTCTCCCCTCTCCCTTCTACCATCATCATCCAGCTAAAATCGATTCCACTTTGAAGACTCAGTCCAAACACCACCTCCAAAACGCCTCATCTGAACCCGGAGGCTGCATATTTGCCTCTGCTGGTTTTACATGCTTGCGTCTTGGCAACCCACTGCCCCCCCCCCAGCCCTGGGTCTTATTTATACTTATGCTCATAGGGGCTCTGGCCACTCCCAGCACCTAAATGAGCAGCCAGAAAATAGTTAGTAAATGAACAAACTAAAGATTATGGTGTTATTGGTAGATTTACTAAGTGACACGATTGGACTGATGTCTCGGGAAGGCAACCATGTGGAGGGTAATTGAAGTGGAAGGACACCAGAATCAGAAGCAAGAAGAATCAGGGCCCTAAAATTAAACAAACAAACAAACAAACAAACAGCCCAGGCAAGTGGTTGTGAGAGTCTGGATTACAGAGATTTTGGCCCAATATATATATTGGAAAATATACTTTCTTATATTCATGAAAACACTTGATACTTAGTGAACTTGTCTTTCTAGTTGGTAGAAATAAAACTCTGCTGCTCCTCGCTAAAATGTTTCTCCTTTAGGCAGAGTGAAAGGCAAAGCTGGTCATAGCTAGCCTCTGTGGCTGTTTGAAAAATAACCTCTTCTGCGGAGTAGTTACAGAGTGTCTGCCAAGGAAACAGTTTGGCTGAGCTGCAGGCCGGGTCATCACCTGAGACTTCCTACCTGCTACGTAGTAGGTGCAGTCACCTGACTAGCCTTCACTGCCTGTCAGTTCTCCGTCGACGTCAACACAATAGCTTCACCTGTTCACGACATTTTCTGCTCCCTCCCTTGACCTCCGGGACACTGTCCTTCTATATGTGGTTTAGTCCTTCGACTGCTTCCTTTCAATCCCCTTTACTAGCGCCTCCTCCCCCATCCACACCAAACACAGACACACAAAATCCAAGCCAGTCCTCCCAGCTCATCGGTGAGGCCAGCCCTTCTTTTCCTCCAGGGGACCAGTGTCATTTCCATCCCCGCCCTTCAACGTAACCTCTGCAGGGGCACCATCAGGAGCCTGGCCTCCTTCATTCCAGATTTCTAAACTCTTTTTATAAAAAAACATTTAAAAAATCTAGCTCTTCTGAATTCATACTGAATTCATCTTATTCCTGTTTGTCCCCGAGTCCACTCCTCCTCTTGTGTTCTTCATGTTGGTTCTGACGTGGCATGGCCATCGCTCCAGTTTTTTAGGTACAAAACTTGGATGCCACCTTGGGTCTTGTCTTCCCTCCCCCCATCCACACGTAATCATATGTCAGCCGTCCACTGCCTCAGCTTCCGGGGCGGCAGTGCCCTTTCATTGCCATTGCCTCCCGTTGAGAATGTTGGGATGAGAACCTGGAGTGTCCTTCTGCCTCCAGCCGGGCCACGCGGTGCTTCCCCATCATGACCCAGCTCCCCTCACAAAACAAAACAAAACAAAACAAAACAAAACAAAACACAAGACCCTTCATTTGGCTGTACCTTATACACAGACTAAAATTCAGATTTTGAGGGTCTTTATAACCTGGAGCTAATCTGTTCATTGCCTTTCGTACCTCTTCCCAATGAGCCCCTTTCTTTAGCACAAGGTGAGCAATCAAAACTAGGGTCTCCCTGATTTCTACCATGAAGCTGCCTCATAACACTCTGCGTTTGTTAGTCCTTTGAGTCTGCCTGGTTCCCTCGTGTAGTAGTGAGTCTCTGGTAGGCTGGCTCTTACCTCTCCACTGTGCTCTGCATGGTGCCTTTAGTGTGATAAGACAAATGTTATCCACCCTCCGTGGATGTTTGTCGAGTACAACTAGTTGTTCATAGACCTTGCTCCTGTTCACATTTCAACGCAGACTTCCAGGATGACCTGCAGTCCAGTTATGATGCAAGGCTTCCGAGTCCCACTGCTGTCCTTCTCTCCACTTCGAGATGCTTAAGGCTTCACGCTCACTCCTGGCCACCCAGGCTGCTTGCTGGGATACCTACACGGACCACCCCGCTGGAGCCACTCCAACTCCCGGACCCTTCCCTTCCCAGTTTCTTACCCAAACCTGCGCATTCCAGAGATGGACTTTAGAGTTCTGTTTCTCCATTTTCTAGATCAAGACAATAAGGTCCAGGAAGGTGACGTGTGAATTGCACAAGTTCATGTGAGTACATTAGCAGCCTCTCTGCGACAGACCTTGGGTCTCCTGACTGTCCTGCTGCTCTTTCACACTTTGCTGCTATCCTGGGTCTCAAGGTCTTCAGCCTCAGGCTGCTGGTGAAGCCTGGCAAGGACCTGCTGCTAACCGTGCTCAGTAAGCATCTTTCTCTTAGCAACAGTGACCAGTGCTCTGACTCACAGTGATGGACGCTTGAGAGGGTTCACAATAGGACCCTCCTGCGATTATGTTGGTCTCATCGCTTTTCTCGGCTCCTGAATTCACAGCTCAGGGAGAGGCAGTGTCTGTGGTGGGCTGTGTAAAGCCCGCGCATTTCCTGCAATGTGCTTTCTTAGGACTGTGCAGTTAGCAGCAGCCACCATCTAACACCGTCCTCCCACACTTCACAGAAACTGTGGCAGCAGAACTCCAGAGGCATCCCCAGGAGGTTTATAACTTCCTGGGGGAAGAGTTCAGTTCATGAATGGGGTGTAATTTCTGTGAAGTCCTTAAAAGCATTCATGAATGAGCCTTTTCAATACCACTTGGACGGAAGTCAGGAACTTCACCATTGAAACTGAGCGGTAATGAAATTCACTAGCCTCCACACAAGAGATGTATGAATACCCTGGCACACAACAAAGGTCAGCTGGATCAGCCAAGGGCAGTTGCTTCCACAAAACGCATTTACCTGAATAGGAACTTGAATGTTTTTCAAGTAACGACTCTGTGTGCTTCCCAAAAGGGTCACATGTTCTCAATTTACACCACAGTGCTTAAGAGTCTAAATTTAAATTTTACTCTGTTTCAGTATTACCGTCATATTTTTGGGTTTAAACATCAGGGCTGGATGATCTGAGGAAGCATGACATTTTGGGGGGAGGAGATGGAAAGCGGGAGCACCGAAAGCTTGCCTTTTCTGCAAGCTTCAGGTACAAAATTACAGGTCTCAGATGCATTACGAACCTCACAGCATCCCTAATGCAAGCATCTATTTTATAGGGGAAGAATGGATCCCTAGTGACCTATAATACAGGAATTATTCATCCTATTTTGTGGAATTTGTTCTACTCTAAGAATAGGAATTCCTTAAGTGGGAACCTGGGCACTAAATTATAATTGTTATATTATTAGGACTAATTGTGTACATGCAGCCCTGACAGACACAAAGGCTGTGGACTTCGTCCACATACCTTCAATTTATTTCTACGCCATTTTCTGCCATATGAAGTGGACGGCCACTTTAGGGTTCTTTAGGCAAGTATATGAGTGTTTACAGTGCTTAAGGTTAACATTAAAATAATTCCTTCTTTGGTTTTTACTTTTTAGAAAAATAATTTAAATGAACTTCAAGAGTCTTCTCACTTAAAATTCTTCCTTTAAAAATTGGGATAAGACACACTTTCTAGATGACACTGTGACTATCCAATTGGACACAGTATAGAAAAATACTTAAAAAAATATAAAGTGCTGTCCTGGCTGGTGTAGCTCATGGATTGAGCGCAGGCCTGCGAACCAAAGGGTCGTGGTTTGATTCCCAGTCGGGGCACATGCCTGGGCTGCAGGCCAGTTCCTGGCGGGGGATGCACAAGAGGCAACCACACGTTGATATTTCTCTCCCTCTCTTCTTTCCTTCCCCTCTAATTATAAATAAATAAAATCTTTAAAATATATAAAGTGCTTTGTAAAAGAAGGGGTAATTCTGTTTACTGTATGTACACATCCCATTCCACTTATTCCTTCAGCGAGTATTTATTAAGCACTATGTGCCAGGTCCTATGCTAGACAGCCATGGCCCTAAAGTGGCGTTAAATGACATCCCAACTTCCAGGAATTTACAACAAAAGCTGTACCTGATCCTGGCAACTGTGCACCCCCAACTCCCAATAAAACAAAACAAACAAACAAAAAAGTTAGGCAACTTTCCTTGTCATGTTCTATCATAGCACTTTGTACTTCTTTCCTTCCTTACCATTAGCAGTTAAATAGTTCATTTCAGTTAAATAGTTGAGTAATTAATCAACTGCTTCTAGAATTTTACCTCCATGGGAACAAGCATGTAATCTCTCTTGTTCTCGGCTTTATACTCCATGCCTCGCCTGTCTGGAATAGAAACGACGAGCAACACATTTCTTGAATGGATGGATGAGTGAATGAATGGAAAATCAAATGCAGGTCGACAGCGTCAGAGTGTGTACCACAGAGCGACGCGCGCTGTATTAGGCGTGCAGAGCACCACGGCGATTTGTAGGTGGCGCATTTCAAGCTAACCTTGACGGAGGAGAAATTAATCTCCGCAAACTCGGACACTTGCAGGACACTGTCCCCCACTGGCCTGCGACTGGTTTAACAGGGATTATTTCTGAAATACCAGGACCCTGCCAACAGCAAGGCATTGATAAGATTGGTCAAATGATAAAGACCGAGGGAGACAACATCCAATGAGAGGCTCTTTAGCTAAAAGCCACAATGAATAAAAGCGCTCGACCCCGGGCGGAAGCGCACACCCCCGACCAAAGTCGCTCTAGGGCTTCCCCGTCTACCGCACTCGCGGACAGCCGCTGGTCACGTGACGCGACGCGACCGCGTCTGCGGGGGCGCTCTGCGCACGCGCCGCGCTCGGAAGCCGGGCCCCGCGTGCGCTGACAGCTTCCGGTTTGGTCTCCCCGCCCCTCCGTGGCTCCGGCTGTCGCGGCTGGGCTGTGGCGGCCGAGGGGTGGCGGGGGGCAGGGCGTGGCCAGGTAAGGTGAGTGCACCAGCAGGGCTCCCCGGAGCCATGGCCTGTTCCATCGTCCAGTTCTGCTACTTCCAGGACCTCCAGGCCGCCCGCGACTTCCTCTTCCCTCACCTGCGGGAGGAGACCCCCGTCGGCGCCCTGCGGAGGGACCCCAGTAAGTGCCCCCCAGCTTCGCCGCTCCCTTTCCCCGCGGGTTCGGGTCTCCGTCCGGCCCCGCCGCCTCTGCCCGGGGGACTTCTACTTCCCCCCACGCCTTCCAGCGATGATGCCCTGCTGTCCTCATCCTATAGTCCCCTCCGCCCTGGCCGCGTCGGTGTCGCCTTCCTGTCGCCCTAGCTTTCTCCTAAACACCTCGCTCTCCGGCCAGAAACTGCGTCCTGCTTCCTCTTGTCGCTGCCCACTCCTAGTTGTGTTCCCGCGTCCCGTCCCGCCGCGTCTCCCTTTTCTCCCCGCCCGGCGTTGCCTGTTCCGTGATCGCCTCTCCTCCCCGGGGATTCCTTGCCAGCTGTCGGCAGGCGCTGCACCCTGATGTTGGCCTTCACCCCGGCTCCTCCATCCCTGGGTCTGCGGCCTTCGGCTACCTGCCTTTCCCCGAGGGTTCATTGTCGCCCACAGCTCTCTTCTCCCATCCCCTTCCCCTGCCCCCACTTCAGATTTAGAGAGTAGATGGCTGATAGACAGGTGAGTGATTCCTAAGGTGGCGAGTTAAGCAGCTCCTAAAACAGGGTAATAACCTGTCAGGAGGTGAGCGAATCTACAGCAAAAACTAAGGTGACTCGACACATGCCATTTACGTGTAAATTACAGCAACGCGGCCTTGAAAAGTTCAGGTGTTTCATTGAGGTGAGAAGCTTTCCACCTATTATCATCAAAGAGTGGGAAGCCTTTGCCCACAGAGTGTAAAATCCTCAGTCTGGTTTATTAGATCCTGTCTAGTTTTTCGGAGTTTCCCACAGGTCTCCTACCGAAAGAAAGGGTGCGTGTGTTGTGTTTGTTTTCTTCCTGTTGCCAGTCTGAAGCACATTTAGCTTCGTAGTGCAGCCTTGTCACTTTGGGCTCTGCTGGACTCTGGGTAAAAGGCCCACTACAGAAGTTCCTCCCTGTTTCTTAAATTTAAAGCTATCAAATCAAAGCTCTCTGTAAATATTTACTCTAGTGCTACAAATCAAATAAGATCGGTGGTCTCTGCCCTCTACGAGCCTATAATTTACTGGGACAAATACATTAGCAGCTCCCATGCAGTGTAACCAAGGTATGTACATATATATAAACATGTATACTACACATGTACATGCAAATATACATCTATAAATATAGGCATGTTTATGTGAGGCACAAGGGCATGCTTCCTTGAAATGGTACTACTTAAGCCTGCCTTTGGAGTACTAGTGAAATGAATAAGGGAGAGATGATAACGTGTGCAGAGGGAGGGAGGCCTGGACTGGCATGTTATTGAGAGACCTAAGAAAACCTGAAAGAGAAGAACAGGGAGCTGGATAATGAGAAACTTCATGAAAGCAGTGGGGTGCCTCTGAGACACCTGAACCTGAGAAATGACACGCTCAGATGGGAACTCTATGTAGTCACTCAAGTTTTTGAATTGCTACTGTGTGCTTTGACAGCTGTGTGCAGAAGAGATGGGACACAGGTAAGTGGGGTGGGAGACAACTCCAGTAGTCCATGTGAGAAGCGATGTGATCTTGAACTAAAATAGGCTGAGCAAGACTTGAAAGGCAGGGCTAGATTAGAGCGCTATTAAGGAGGTAGAACCTGCAGGACCTGGGGGAGACTGGGTGATGGGGGTTATTATAGCTGATGAGTGAGAGGGGGTTAAGGATGCCTTTGGGCTTCTGATCTGAGCAAGGGCATGTAGAGAGAGAGAGAGAGAGAAAGAAGCAGATGGGTTTTGGACCTTTTGCATGTTAAATGTTTGTGGTATGTCCAAGTGAGGGGGTCCATTCGAACACCAGATAAAGGGCCTGAAACCTAGTAGGGATTCCTGGGTCAGAGATGTTAATTTGAGAGTTATCAGCAAAAGGTGTCAGTCAGTTTGAAGGATTATGTGTACAGTCATGCCCCGTGCATTGGTGTGTGAACATCATCGAGGGCGCTTGCACAGACCTGGATGGTATATCCTGCTACTGTAATTGTGTGTGTGCCACACTTTTATGCGACTGGTAGTACAGTAGGTTTGTTTACTCAAACTTGGAAGTAATGCATTGTGCTGTGACATTAAGATGGCCACAAAGTCACTAGGCAATGGGGGTTCTTCAGCTAAGATGAGGACAGAAATGTGCTCGTTGGTTTTGGGAAGGTGGAGGTGGCTGGGAGTTCAGAACGGTTTTGGTGGAATGGTGGGCACAAAAAACACATTTCCAGCATTTTGAGGAGTTAATGTAGTTGACTATTTCAAGAATCCAGGTGTGAAGGATAGTAGATACAGGACTCTAGACAGGGGATGCCGAGAAAAAGAACACGTTTTGTGTGTCTCACTGCCCAGGCTGCCATCTGCCCTCTGCCGGCCAGTGGCACCAGTCTTCTGACAGATCTTCCTGCGTCCACTCTTGGTTTCTTGTAATTCATTCCCAGAAGCAGCCAGAGTGAACTCTTAAAGACCCGTATAGGGTAGCTCACAGCATTCTCCTCTTTATAGCTCTGTGCTTGCAAGTGCGTTTAACATAAAATCCAAAATTCTTGCCTGGCTTACAAAACTCTTGAGGCCCTGCCTCCTGCCACTTCCGGCACTGCATACTCCTCTCCCTTATTTCTTATGCTTCAGACATACTTTGTGTTGTTGAACCAGCCAAGCTCATTTGCGCCTGAGGTCTTTGTCCTTGCCCTTGTATCTGCCTTGGATGCTCTATGCAGGTCTTTGCACGCCAGCTGCATCTTGTCATGCAGGTCTCAACTCAGATGTCAGCATCTCAGGGAGGCCTTTTCCACCATCTAATCTAAAGTAAGTCACTCTTGCCTCCTTGGGTCTCATCTATTACTCTCTGTCATAGCATCTTGTTTATTTCCATCGCTATGTCTGCTGTCCAGTATGGTGGCAGTCTGCACCACCTTGGGCTGGCGAGCCCTTGACATGTGGCAAATACTACCGAGGAAAAGAATTTTTAATTTTACTTAATTCAAATAGCCAAATGCGGCTGATGGCTACCATATTGTATGGCACAGTTAGCGGTGCTAAAATTTAGGCACATACAGATTGAATAGTTGTCCAAGGTCACACAGTGAAGGGAAGCCTTAGGATATGAACTCAATGCAGGCATTGGGATATAATCATAGCCCAACACATCTAGGCTGATTTGCAATATGCCTATGAGTTTGCAGATATTTAATTTATTACTCTTTTAAATCAAGTTCTTAGGTTTATGTTTGTTGGTATTATTGTGGCTACCATCAATTCAGGTAGAAAATAAATGGACGAAGAGCCTCTTAATGAGTGAGCCTCTTTGCCAAACCTATATTTTTACAGGTAAAACAGTGCTTTAGTTTACAAATAAAAGTCAGTAAAATAGTTTGCCCTGCTACAGATAGTTTACTTGGAATTCTAGGAATGGCTAGGGCATGGATTCCAGTAGTTACTCCTTTGCAAAACATCAGGTTTTGTAAAGAGCTCTTTATCAGAATCTGTGGCAGATGTATGTTGTTTTTCTCCGTTACCTGCTTCTAACAATAATTATAGTAAGTCAAGAAAGAAGACAGATTTTAATACTGAGAGCTTTATGGTCACAGGAAAACCATTGTTTTTTCAGTTCATATCTCTTTTGCAGAAAAATTTTTGACCTGGTAATAAAAATCTATATTACATTAGAGTAGCATTCTTTGCAGAAAATGGAGTGGGAAACAGAAGGAGAAATAAGATGTTATAAAATAACTCTTAGAGAAGATCATCATATTTCTTAATTAATGTGGGTGGGTGTCATTTCCTGATAGTATTCAGAATCCACTAAGTTTAAAAGGATGCTATACATGTATATTAAAATATCTGTGTTCACAGTATATAAGAAATTACATCATTTGTGAAAAGGATACATACTAGGGGAGAACTCTTTGGGAGTATCTGTAAGCAAAAAGTTTGAAGACATTCTTCTGCAGGGCTCAGGCATTGACAACTTTTTTTTTTTTTGGCATCCTAGCATATATAAAAGTTAGAATGAACCCTGAATAGTAAAATAATTTTGAAAAAGAATAAAAATACTGGGGACTCATACTTCCTTATTTCAAAATATATTGCAAAGCTACAGTAATCAAACTTGTATGGTGCTGGCATAAAGACAGACAAATAGAGCAGTGGAATAGAATAGAAAGCTCAGAAGTAAACCCTTGCATATATGGTCAAATGATCTTTGACAAGAATACCAGACCACTCAGTGGGGAAAACTGCATGTCCATGTACAAAGGAATGAAGTTGGTCCCTTATCTTATACCATGTACGATAATTAACTCAAAATGGTATTCCTTTCCATGGTATGTATGCCAGTGTACATGGATACTTGTCATCATTTTATGTCATCAGTTTTTTTGACTTTTGGTCTTCTAATAAATGAAAAGGTGGTTCTCATGTATTAAGATAATTATCAGACTTTATCTGTATATATTTTTTAAAAGCAGAAAGTAATAGCAAGATTAAGCTGGTTTGCAAGAATTTAGTTTAAGGAAAGTTTTCTCGAAGGGACAGAATATTTTTAAAATTTTTATTTATTTATCTTTAGAGGGGAAGGGAAGGAGAGAGGGAGAGAAATATCAATGTGTGGTTGCCTGTCACATGGCCACCACTGGGGACCTGGCCTGCAACCGAGGCATGTGCCCTGACTGGGAATTGAACCGTGATTCTCTGGTTCGCAGGCCTGCGCTCAATCCACTAAGCCACACCAGCCAGGGTGGGACAGAATATTAAAATGGATTTAGTAAGGAAGGTGTTAAATTAGCTTCTTTAGACTATGCAGACATTAGCTTTAGCTGTCAGGGTTTACATACCTTCAGCTACCTTTCATAGTGGCCTGCCTTCTCTCGAAACCTTATTAGCTGTGCATGTCTAGTCTGCTGTTTTGGATATAATAAGTCAACATAAGTTGTAGGGAACAATGATAAGAAATGTATAAGTTCTTTGTAATTATATACTATATTATTGTCCTTTGAAAAAAAAAT